GGTTCCAATTAATATGACAATAAAAATACAACGAAACAAAAATTGTTGAAAATAATAATTAAAGAAAAAAATTTGTAACAAATTGGAGAAATTGTTAGAAGATGAAATCTGTGCTTTTATCCAATATTGTGTAACGAAGCTAATGACAATCAACGTGAATCTGTCTCACTCTCTCTCTCTCTCTCTCTCTCCCTCCCCCTTTTGCCAAGTATCATTCTCGTCGCCTTAGAGTTGACTCGTGCACAAATAATTGACATGAGCAATTACGACGCTTTCTCTAAATGAGTATCGCGTGACACATTCAACCACGAAATCGCGTGCTCTCTATTTTCCTTTTCAATGTATTTGAATATGTATATATATATATGTGTATATAGTGCGAGTGAAGACGATGTCTCTAAACAAATTATCATATTTGCAAAGTCACATTTATGTTATATACTGAAATGAATAGTTTCTGTCACGCAATCTTTCTATGTATCAATGTTTTCACGAACGTGTCAAGAGGTAAAGATGAAACATTCTCTATTTTGCATATATTATGGTTGATTTCTATTTTTTGTTTACATTATTTTTTTCATAGATATACCTTTTCCCTATTTTTCCCATAGACTTTTTACTATTTTTTTCAATATAATAATTCTTTTACTACTTGTTTCCCATAGATTTTTTTTATTTTTTTTTTTTCATATTTATTTTTCCACTAATTTTCATACATATTTTTAGTATATCAAAATGACTTAATTACTAAAACAACGTAGCCCCCTAAATACAATTTTCTATTCATAAGCAATTATTACTGAAATAAATTTTAGAAATACTACTTTTTATGAATAAAATAGAATTTTTTTATTCTTTAATAGAATTCATTATATTTTAGTGGAATTTCTCTAGTGGAATTTTTAATATTAATCAAAGAATTTTTTCCTGAGTTGTAATATATTATAATATATATTTAATTAGTGAAATAATTGAACTAAAATTGACTAAAATTAACTACAAGTAAGTAAATTAATTAAACTATAGTTAATAAATTAACTAAACTTTAATAAATGAATGAATTAATAAGAAGTAAATTTTTCTATTTTTGTGTTGTGAAAATAAGATAGGAAACAAAATTCGACTTTCACCCTGAGGATAAATATTTTATTATTTGAATATACAGAATATACACGTATTTATAAAGGTATAAAGCGGTCTTAATATCCCTTTAATTTTATTTGCCAGCTAAAAGATCCGATTTCCGGGCAATTTCATCTCTCTCCTCAACTCTCGATGTCTTCATATATATATATATATATGTATTTATGCCACATGAGAGAAATAATAGATTCCTTGCTTCTTCCCATCTTTGAAATCGCACCCATTCAAATAACCCTATTGTCTGTTGGAAACCTGTATATAATATTTTCCCTTCTTCTTTTTCTTCTTTTTCTTCTACCCCTAGATGACGTAGTTGATATAGAAAAATTAACGTCGCTGAAAGGTCAGGCAATAGACGAATGGAGTTAAATCCCGAATTAGGATCTATAACGAAACCTTATTTAGGGGCGCCTATGTACGTGGAGAAAAAAAATTTTATACAGCATATAAAAAGCAGAGTGGCAGGTCAACACACGTGTGTCGTGTGTCTGTGTCTGTGTGTGTATGCACTTTGTACGTGAATCTTAAGGCAGCGCCAGAGAGAAACCATCGCGTGCTCTTTGTGCTTTGAATTCACCTATGGAAGAGAGACCCAAGGGTCTTGAGTAGATGAAAAAAAATAGAGGGAGAGGACAAAAGCCTCGTGGACCGTCGGAGAATGTGAATCATGAAAGATCGGGAAAACTTTTGTTCATCAAAATATTAAGTCGCTTCTTAATACACAAAATAGTCATAACTCTCCACCATAAATATCGTGGAAAAATTGTATACTGATATATTGACATTATGATTTATGGCTATATTTTGACTCCATTTTGACTCCATTTTGACTCTTTAGCGGACAATATTTTCTGTCATATCATGGCTTTTAATCTTTTCTCCCTAAAAATGCTTTTCTTATTCCTTCAGAGTTTCTTTTTTTTGAATTCTTCACTTTTTAGTTCAATTGATATCTATAGAAATTTAATTATTCATTTTTACTTTATCTGCTTCTTTAAAAATTTTGTCTTCTATTTGTTTATTTCCATGTTTTTTTCTGTTTCTTCTTCTTTTTTGTTTACTTTTCCGTTTTTTATTTTCTTGATTTTTAGTATTTTTACTTTTTTATATTTTCTCATCTTTTATTCCTTTTACTTTTCTTATTTTCTTGTTTTTTTCTAATTTTTCCTTTTTGATTTTCTTATTCTTTATTTCTACTTTTTCTTTTTTTGATGTTCTTTTAATATTTTTACTTTTTTATTCGTTTAAAGTTTAATTTTTTTAATTTTCTTATTTTTTACTTCCCTTTTTTGTTTTTATTTCCTTTTTAGGGTTCCGTACACCTACGGTGTATCGGCGGAACCCTATTGGTGAGACTCTGTTGTCCGTAGCCAAATCGTGTCCCCCCCCCCCTAGCGGCTAAACTATTTGACCTAAAGAGCTCAAATTTGGTCCAGATATGTATTTTCACTCGTAGATTACAGGAAAAATATAGCGAATGTGATTGGACGTGATGGGCATAGCGTTGTCAAGGAAATAACAAGATTTTTGGCCAAAAATGCATAAAAAGTGACCATTCCCCCCCCCTTAACTTCTAAACTATTCGACATGGAGAGCTGAAATTTTGCATGCTGGTGTATTTTTACTCGAATATTACAGGAAAAATATAGAGAACTTGATATGTAATGATGGCCATAGCGTTGTCAAGGAATAACTAAAAAATTTAAAAAAAAAAATTTTTTTTTCCTAACTTTTACATTATTTGACCTAATGAGCTGAAAATTGGTATCCTAGTGTATTATTACAGTCTGACGACAAAAAATTTATTTAAGAAACTTTTTGAAAAAAAAATCAAAAAAAATTTTTTTTTACTTTTTTTTTCAAAAAAAAAAAATTTTTTTTAATTTTTTTTAGTTTAAACACGTGGCATTAAATATTTTAAGGAAAAGAGAGTGAAATTTTAAGAGAATAAATGAGAGATTGTTTTCTGACTTTAATTTCTTAACTAAAAAAAAAAAAAATTGGACAAGTGCGAGTTGTACTCGCACTGCAATGGCGGGTTCCGTACACAAATATTAAAACAACACTTGCAACATTTATCGGTAATTGATAGAATTAAAATAAACAATTAAAAAAATATATTAAAATCATTTGATAAAAAAAATAACTAAAAAAAATTAAAGTATTGTATATCTAATATTGTAAACAATAATAAGCAGAGGAACTATAATTTTGAAAATTTTGTTCCTCTGCTTATTATTGTTTACAATATTAGATATATACAATACTTTAATTTTTTTTAGTTATTTCTTCTTATCAAATGATTTTAATATATTTTTTTAATTGCTATTTTAATTTTATCAATTACCGATAAATGTTGCAATTGTTTTAATATTTGTGTACGGAACCCGCCATTGCAGTGCGAGTACAACTCGCACTTGTCCAATTTTTTTATTTATCTTTACTTCTTTTTATTTTCATGTTTTTTATTTCCACTTTTTCTTTTTTGACTTTCTTGTTTTTTTATTATTTTCACTTTTTTTATTTTCTTATTTTTATTTTTTTTTACTTCTTTTTATTTTGGTTTTTATTTCTCCTTTTTTTGTTTTCATTTTCTTGTTTTTTCCACTTTTTTACATTTTGTTTTGTTTTTTTCTACTTTTATTTTTCACATTTTCCGTTTTTTTTGTTCTTCAATTTTGTTTTTTTTTTGTTCTTTTTATTTCAGTTTTTAAAAGTTGTCAACTTATTTGTCTTTTTCTATCTTTATTATTTTCAATTTTTCATTTTTTGTACTTATATTTTTGTAATTTTTAAAATAATTTTGTTTATTTCTTTCTCTTTTTTATGAAAATTTTTTATTTACTTTTTTAATTTTCTGTTTTTTCTGCTTTTTTTAATTTTTAATTTAAAAAAGTTTATTTTTCTTTAATTATTAATTTTTATTTTCTTGTGTTTTTTATTCTTTATTTTTTGCTCTTAATTTTCAGTTTTTCTCTATTATTTTAGTTTATTTTACTATACAATAATTTCTTCCACTTATTTTAAAATAATTAATTAATTTATTTGTTTTTTAATTATTTCTTTTCTTGTTTTTCTTTTATCTTCTTATGCTTTTATGTTAGTTTTGTTACATTAATTTTTTATTTTATTTTTCTTTCTTTTAATTTTTTATTGTTCTTTTTTGTTTAACAAAGTTCTTTCATTTACTTTTTACTCTTCATTTTTTTTTTTTTTGTAATTTGTTGGCTTTTATGCAATTTTTTGTGTTCCAAAAGCCTTTTTTATGTTTTCTTATTTTTTTGTTTGAAATAATTTTTCCCCTTCTATCCATTTTTTTATTTTACTTTTTATAATAAAAAAAGACCTGTCCCGTTAATTTTCAAAATAAATAAATAATTGTAATTTTTTGTTATAATTATTTTTATATGAAATTTTTCTGTTTTTTTAATAATTCTTTACATTTTTTCTCTACATTTTTCTCTACATTTTTCTCTTGCTCTTTTAAATTTTTCGCTCTTTTTGTTTTAAGAAAATCTTTTTTCATTTATACTATTCTCTTCCTTCTTTTACATTAAATTTCTTCCTTTTATTTTCTACTCTTTCTGTTTGCTTCATTTTAAAGAGTTTTCATTTTTTCTTTTCATTTTCCTATTTCCTTTTTCCCTCTTCCTCACCCCAATATTTTCTCGACTAAAATTATTTTTGATGCGATTTTAAATTATAAATATGATTATAAATTTATTTATTAAAAATGATGATATATATAAAAGAAAATGAAAATTTAAATAATTTTGATGAGTGTTTCGTAATTTATAATTACTAGTAAATTATCTGTATTTGCACTCTGCTTTAATGGCTTTCTTTTTTAATTTCAGACTCTAACGTTCTATGAATAAATCTGATGGAGTCTCATTCCCGAAAGCCACCGCTAGGTGAGTTTAATTAAACTTTAATTACTTATGAGTAATTTTATGATCATTATATAGACGAAATGTACAAACTCTTCATACATATTATGATATTATAAAATGAAAATATGTCCCGTAATTTGGAGACTTGGACATTTTTTTTATGATTATATATTAATTAGTATGCAAAAATCGAGGGGGTCAAAAAAAGAGAATCATAAAGTAATCGGTTTTTGTGTACAATTTTTTGTGTGTGTAATAAAATTTAATACACTTTCTGCGTTAAAATAAAAAAATGATGAATATTTTTATGCAAATATAGTAAAAAAAAACTTGAATAGTATAAAAACTTGAAAATTTAATTTTACTTTTTAATTTAATTTGAATATAAAGTTTTAATGGAATTAAATTGAATATAAAAGTTTTTTAATCAAATGAAATGATTCTCTTTTAATTGAACATTTACGATTTTTCTTTTACAATAATATTGCGCTATGGATGGTTTCATTCTGTGGGAAAAGATTCTTGCGGTTTCGATTAGATTGCGCTCGCGCTTTTTTTTCAAACTGCAGGTATATGTATAGAGGAGAGAGAAAGAGAGGAAGTGTTGAAAGTTTTGCGGATTTAAAGGTGAATAATATAAATTTTGGTTTTTCCTTTTGCGAAGTGATAAATAGCGAAAGAGGGTTCTCCCTCTGTCGACACTCGAAACAGAAACTCAAAAGGGAAGGAGTTTCGGGTGGGATACTTGGGTATACTATTACTAGTGCACTATCAAGATAGCAAACCAAAGTTTGCGGAGGGAATGTTGATTACTGCATTCTTGGACGAGCAATCTCCATAGTCCCTATAGGTGTTCTCTCTATCTCTCTATCTCTCTCTATCCCTCTTTTACCGTCGGGGTGTTAAACGAGAAAACGATCCTGGTTCTGAACATCCTTTTCCTATACACACAATATCGTCTTTTTACCGTGAGCATAATTAAATCTTCAATTACGCACGTTTTTCTTTTTCCTTTTATTATTTTTCTTTTCTTTTTTATTTTTATATTATAAATCAAATATTTAAAATCCCTTATCGATGCTATTTTTTTTTCTTGAGGGGGATCGAAGCGCATATTTTTTCCCTTGGATATTCCATTCCGCCTGTATGTATATAGAAAGAATTTGATTATAAATTCAATAGATTCTTAGAATATTATAAAAGATGTATAAACTGTAATTTATTTTTTCCATGAAATTTTTTTATTTTTTTAAATTAAAAATTACAACTTTTTAAAATGTTTTTCTATCTATATTTTATTATTATGTATATTATAGTTTATAATTGATACAATCAAGCTTCGGATACTATTACTTTCTCGACTATTTTCAAAAAATGCAATTTTTTCCCACATGTTACGAGAAAATATCATTTTTTTGGTATAAAGTGACACTTATTTTGATTTTCATAATGTGAATAATAAGTAGAGTAAAAAATCCCCCTCTAAAACAGTTTTAGTTTTTTTATAGAAATTATATACAAAAATTCTATTTTTTGTTGTTCTTTGAAAATATTCAAAACCTTAAATTTTCTTTTTCACTTACAAACACTTAAAAAACTAAGAAAACTTATAATTTTTATTGAAAATTGAATTATTTCTTTTGAACAATTGATTTAGAGAAGAATTTTAGAAAATAATTGAATTCTCAGAGAATTTTTTTATCATTTTTAAAAATAAATTACTCAAGATGATTTTCAATTTAAAAGTTTAGAAAATAATTATTCAATTTTCGAATAATTGAATTTACAAATTCTGAAAATATTAAGTTTTTCAATAATTTTCAAACAATTTGAAATTTTGTAAAAATTTTTAAAATAAAGTTTATATTTGAAAGAATTTTTTAAAAATTCGTGTTTTGTAGAAAATATTAAAAAATATGGAAAAATTATTTGAAAATAACTAATTTGAACGTATTATTGGAATAAGAGAAAAAGTTGAACATTTTGTAATAGAAAATAGAATTTAAAAAAATTGAATTTATTTTTTTTTATTTAATTAATACTGACGTACAAAACAAACTGTTTTAATATAATTTTAAAAATTAATTAATACGATTAAATTCTAGTTAGATTATAGTAAAAGAAGAGAATAATTTTTATGTTTATAAGTATTGCGTTATAAATTTCTTATTTAATTTTCTTAATACAGAAGAGGTGAATAATTAACAAAGTAGATATAATAATTAATTATTAATAGTTTTCGAGATTGTTGATTTATAAAAGTATTTCTTTTCCTGATTTAATTAATTATTGTATTTGTCATTAAAACTCGTTTATTATTTCATTTCGTTTGCACAATAAACATGAATTTTGCATATGGTTTTCAGCATCATTTTTATATTAAATTTATATGCAAAATGATTAAGGAAATGACTACTTGAATGTGATCAGTGACCTGTAATAAAGTATCAATTCGGTTATGTAGAGAACTTTTTAAGGGTAGACAAGAGATAGTTAAGAACAGATTTTATAATCAGTTCTCCTTCTTTTTCTTTCTCAAGTCCCATCCCCCCTCCCCTGTAAATAAGAGCAGGAAGTAACTTTTTAATAATTAAAAAAACATTCTACAAATAAAGAATTTTTCTTTCTTTTTATAAACGACACACTTTGTTCTATATAGGTGAAAAGAAAAATTGAAGGAAAAAATGAAAAAATATTCAAGAAATTGAAACGAAAGAAAAGAAAGAAATAAACATTTTAAAACGATATGCTTTTCAGTGAAAAAATAAATTTTTAAAGGGAAATTAAATTCGTATTCCGCATATAACTCCAGCAAGTTAAAATAAAAACGAGATGTTTATATTCGGAAGGAAAAAACTTAATTACTTTTTATTAAAATGTCTTGCGCTTTGAAAACAAAAACAAGTAAAATGAAAAATAAATATGTGGTGTATCAAGGAAAATATATTAAAATTGATAAAAGTGGAAAAAAATATACGAAATAAAATTTTCACTTTATTTCTTTTTTAAAATAAAGAAAAGGGATTTATTATTTATTTATTTATTTTTATGTAAAGAATAAAAAAAATATGTATTATGACAAATGTCAAACTGAGCAATAAGAAAAACATTTTTAATATTGAAAGTCGTCCTTGATTGAGAGGATGAGAACATAAAAGCATATTTAAAATGTTGAATGAATAATTTTGGTAAAAGCTTTTTCGAGAATAAGAAGACTTGAGGATAAGAAAAATATTGCGCGGTTTCTCCGCAATCTCTAGAGAGACGTTCGATAGATATTATTTTTATATTAAATATCTTTTCTATTAAAAGCCATTTATTATTTTTCCATAAAGAAATTCATTCTTGATATATACAATTTGCAATTTTTTTTATAGAAGTTTTTCCATAATGAACTACTTATAATTTTTAAATGTAAAATTTTATTATTATGAAAAACTTTTATCCAAAATAAATAAGTTTTAAATTTCCAAAATGTAAATATTTTTGAAATTTAAAATTTATTTTTTAACTTTGTTCTTCTAATAAATTTTTCTTAATTAAAAAATACTTTTATAAAAATAAATAATTATTAGAACTTTAGAATCTTTATTATACTTATTTTTTAATATTTAATATTATTGCAATAAAATTTGAATTTGAAGAAAAAAATTAATTTTTCTAGAGACATTTTTGATAAAAAATAATTTTTATAATAAAATACAAATTGAAAGAAGTAACAAAAATATTATTGTTCATTTGAACCTTTGAAACTTTAGGAACATTAAAAAAATAAAAATAGAAAAAATCAATATGTATTTGTAAAGAAGAATACAATTTCTGAAAAATAAAATTCCATACTTTTTAAATCAATAATTTATATCCTGTTGGACAGAAATATTGCTCAGTGTTTAAAATATTTTTATTTCCATACTGTATCAAAAATTGTCTATTTTCATTTTTTTGCGAAACAAAACAAATATCAAAACAAGTTATAAATATTTCTTTTTATTTCACGACCAATAGAATCAACCATTTTACAATTATAACACAATTTCAAAAAGCGTCGATTTTCAATTTCAATCATAATTTCAAATTGAAATGGAAAAAAAACAAAACGAAAACTGATTTATTTCCAAGATATTCAATTTTTAATTTCCGAACTGATTTTAATTTTTCATTTCATGTTTTCCAGAAAGAAATGTGTACCTTTTTTTTACAACCTTGCCGTAAATTGTTTACAACTGATATAATTTTTTTCAATACTGTTACGAACAGAAAGAAAGAGAAACAAATTAAATTTAGTTTAATGAAAAAAACAAACAAACAAATAAGAGAGAATGGATTTAATTTATTTTATTGAGTAGTAATTTTCTTTTTTTTTTATTTGAAAATAACCAATCTCTTTTCTTCTATTGAGAATATTTGTCGAATTGCCTATATATAACGGACTTGGCGAGATGTTTTTATCTCTTAAAAGTGGATATATAAAGAGAGCTTGAAGAATCCACTATGTGCTTGAATTGTCCCTTCTTGAACATTGAGGATTTAGGGTATTACTTCTGAAAGTAGTGCGCTTGCATAAGGAATATACAACAAAGTTAAAAAAGAAAAAAAAATGTAACTCTCTGACAAAACACTTTTTGAGGACGTCCTTCCAAGGACGCGACTTCAAAGTGAAATTCATCAAAAAAAAAAATAACCACACATACATGACGAAATGTTATAAAATTGCAATGAACTATTAAAAAAAAAAAAAATTCGCTGAATTTAATAAAAAATCTTTTTTTTTTTTGTTGAAATTTTTACAAACTTCCGTTGGGAATATATATATTTTCGCTTATTCAGACATCAAATTTCATACTGCTGAGTGGTAAAAAATGTTTTCAGCATGAAAGACTCTAAATAAACATAAAATATACTCCATTACGCGAAAAAAAAGGAAGGAAAATTTTATTACGAAATTTAATACCCACTTTATGCTTTATGCACTGCGAATTTAATTAATTTGCAAATTATTCTACCAAAAATAAATTCTTGAT